CCAACCCCCCACCACCCCACCCAGTCACACACAGACAAGGCATTGTCCCTAGCCACCAAGCACCAGTATGATGGTTTCCAAAGCACTGATCAGGCAAGACTGCAGCTGCTGGAATAGTGCTGTGAACTGAATGAAATCAGGAGGTGAACTTGAGGGAGAAACATCCCATACGTATATAATGGTCTGAGGCGTGAAGTGCATCTCCCTTCCCATGGTTACCTCTCTTTCCCTACCCCAGAGAGAGACTGCCCCAATGGTGTCACCACAGTTACCCTACTATGGGGTAAGGAGTGTCAGTGTGGTGGGGAGGGGAGAAAACACCAAGAAGGACAGTGACCTCTCCAGGGTCACATGCCAATGCCAAAATCTAAAGATGCCTGCTCCCAGCATCTGAGGACACCACACTCTCTATCATCCCAGGTGATGATGAATGAATTCCGCATGAGGTGCAAGGTCCAGGCAGCAGGCAGCTTTCTCTAAGAGTGCAGACAACAATGGCTCAGGGAAGAAAAAAAGCTCAAGAAAAATTTGTGGTAAGCAAGAAGCCATGGCCCAGGCAGAAGGTCTGCGGAGAGGCCGGGACCACAGGAAAGGGGGACAGAAGACAAGAGTTCCAAGTCCTGAGGCAGAGGTGTCTGATGACAAGCACATCTGCTTCAGGAAGGCACCTGCCCACGGACAATGCCTTCTCTGCTTTCCAAGCTGAGCCAAGAGAGAGAATTCTTTGCCAGACAAGACTCAAAGGAGGGAATGTCTTGTCCCTACTTCCCTCACCCTCCACCTGTACTTTGAGAGCTGGGCTGACCGCAGGCTCTCTCTCATGGTTGCCCCCTTCAGTGCCCAGGGCCAGTCCCCAGGGCTAGTAAAATTGCGCTACCTGAGAGATAAGGTATGGGTGGAAGAGAGCACGGTGGCACCTTAGGGTTGTGAGAGAGGGTTATAAACAGGTGTCCTTTTCAAATCACCTCAATCCCAGCACCCAAGTTAGAAGTACCCACACTTTGTGGATTTGACTCAATAAAACCTGCCAGGGAGTATCATGTTTTCTCAACACTCACCGTATCAAATGGGGAGGAAAAAAAATCAGCTCTTTCAGCATGCCTAGAAATTTCTGCTTCTCTCTCTCTTCGGCGAGGTAGGGGTGATTAATGTCCACAGCAGCAAGGGAAGGAGCTTTTCAGACCGTAAGGACACAGAGATGAGCTAACGGTGGATGGAGTAAGGTGGGTGCCTGTGGGGCCAACTCAGAAGCAATGGTCTGAGGGGTGGTGTCCTTACTAGGGCAGTGCCCACACCGTGCACCAAAAATGGAAGCACCTCCTGGGGCAGGGTTTCCCTGACAGGACTCTGTTGAACCGCATCCAGCCATTCCACACCATGAGGGGACTGCAAGAGAGCTGATTTTTCATGTCCTGGGTGTGTCACCCCTAGAGTTCTAAGGAGAGGCTGGGTTCCTGTTCTCCCCTTGGCTTTGGCTTCCCCCTGGGAGCCAGAGCGGTGGGGTGGGCAGCAGTTGGACTGGAACCATGGACTACCACATTTTGAGCTCTTGGCATGTCTGGGCAGGAGGCAGCCCCCACTGCCTCCTCAACGTAAGCAGTGAAAGACGTCCCACCAGGTTTAACACGGCAAGAACTGTTAACTCAAGAGAGCTCTGCCTACGGGGTTTAAAAGAACAAGTCCTCCAGGCTCAGCAGGAAAGATAAGCATCCCACTCGCAGGATGCAATGAAGAGACACCATCTGTGCTTGGTCAACACGGAATGGAGAAACCTCTATTCCTTCTTCCCCCAGGAGGCATCCTTTCCATGTCACTCCCATCCCCAACGCACTGGAACATCCAGTTCACACTAAGTCACTTGCTACTCTTTACAGTAAGGTTCCAACATTGATCAACTTCCTATATCGAAGATGACAGTCGGGTTTGACTCAAAGAATTAAATGCCGCCAAGTGCCCCCACACACCATTAAAACAGAACCCTGGATCTCCGTCCAGAATTACAGAAATGGTAAAATTCTTACACTTGAACTTCATGGACTCGGCCCATTCTTACTTTGCCTTGTATATCCCCCTACCACCAAACCACGCGCTCCCGGTTCTGCAGAAATAGAGGAGAGGGTAGAAGAAGGTTTACTGCATGCAACACAAGCGATGGTGAAAGGGACTCAGCAGGACCAAGAGAGGCGTGGTGTTGCCACGAGCGAAGGGGACAAGCCAAGCATGTTAAGGGGGGGGGGCGCGGGGACACGGGGCGCGCGCCAGGCGGGGCTCTCACCTGTGGATGTTCATCTCCCGCGGCGGGCGGTGGGCCTTGTCGTAGGAGACCTTGGCAAAGACGCCGGCCACGAGGACGAAGGCGATCACCCCGCAGGTGATGTAGACGGTGAAGTTGGTCTTGTCCTTCTCCGGGTCGTACTTGTTCTCGGGCCCCGGCGACACCACCTTGGTGCTGGGCGTCTGTACCCACACCGGGCTCTGGTAGTTGGTGCACTGGCGCTGGTCCAGCTTCTCGTGGCGCTTCTTGCAGCAGAAGCGGTAGTAGCAGGTGCCGCAGCAGTACAGGTAGCCGCTCTCGCTGTTGTTACACTCGAACTCCTTGTCGTACTGGCCGCTCACGTCGTAGTAGCCCCAGCACGTCTCGTAGGTGACGGCTGCGCTGGCCGCCGCCGCCGCCGCGGGCTGTCCCCGCCGGCTCCCCGCCTCCGGGACGCCG